ATATGCTATTGGTTCAGTTAATGTTGGGCACACGCCAGCCTGTACCGTGGGCCTAGTGTGAAACAATCTCGCCTTGGAATACAAGCTTTAAAGAAACGGCTTATGGAATTACATATATCTATATGTACAGAGCTTGTTCTGAAAGTAATAGGACTGATGATTTATTAAACCGATCGTTGCAATTCCTTAAAAACTGTCGAAATAGGCTCCTTCTGCGTCGATGCAGCGCTACCAACGCTACTTCCAAGCATTGAGGGCGTCACGGAAGGCATTCACCTGAATAGGCTTGAGAGCCGAGGTGCATGCTGTTTGGATCCCCTTTCATTGGCCTTTTCAGGTAACGAAACAAAAAAGTCCGGACGGCACATCTGGGCTGAAGGGCGGTTGCGGAAGCGTTGGGATGCCGGCCTTGGTTAGGTAGCAGTTCACAAGAAAGACGGTGTAAGCCGGGACATTTTCTTGGTGCAACTTCCAATCGGCTGCGTTGTCTTCTCGGATCCGATTAACCCTTCGTTTGAGTCTCTTGAGATCTTCCACGTAAAACTTGCCGTTGACGGGCAGGAGGAATAAATTCATGGTGGACGATGTCGAAAAAGACAATGAGCATCGTTTTTACTTCTGGTGTCTTCCGGTCTTCACCAGCGACATCTTCCCAGCCCTCCAAAAAGACCTGGCGCCAATGAAACACTCCTCTTCTGGTTAAAGCAACATCTGGCTAAACCTGCTTGATCATATCCATCGTCTTTATCACAGATTTACCGAGTTTCACACAGAATTTAATCGCGTACCTCTGCTCTAACAAACACTGCGTTTTCGGCTTGCACCACTCGCAGAAATATGTGCGAAAATGTTTATCCTAACTCTCCAGGTGCTCGAGGACAACTGACCAACCGCTCGCTCTTTAGTTAGAAACGCCCCCTACCTAATCCAGGCAGTGCACGCACACTCCGAAGCTAAAATGTGCTTAGAAAGACAATCTTCCATGCAGCTTAATTTTTTTTTTCGAAATTTTAATAATTTCAGTAAAAATTTTTATTTTTTTGTAGACTATAAAACTTTGCGCCATTCGTTGCCAATCGCTCCACTGCTATAGCACATTCGGATGCCAGTATAAACATTTACATACATGCTCTTACTGTTGTTGTTGTTGTATTTCAACAGGCGGCGCCTAACTCCAACTTCCAATTACAAATGCAATTTTACCATGTCTGTTGTTGCCTATTTCTGTTAACATATTCATTTGTGTTGTTGTTTTTTTGTATKTTTTTATGTGTGTTCATTTTGTTGTTGTTGGTGATGCCGTATTGGCGTTAAGCTGTTGGCGCTGATGACTCGTACGTGCCACATTGACGATTGTAGCTGTTGTTGTTGACATGCAAATTAAAATAATATGCAAAATAGCAGTGCTTACGAACTGAAGAAAAATTAAAAATTGAAAAAATTCGAACCACAAAGCCACCAGAACTGTTAGACCCTTGCGCACAACAAATAACACCAGCTTACCGAAGAGCGAATATGGACTTGCGCCGCTATAATATCACAATTTTAAATCAAACCAATCATTCAAGACTTCTTCTTCCCACAACAAAGTAGGAAACCTCCATTTCTTCAAAACGATTCACACTCAGATGCCGAACTGGAACACCGTTCTTCGTGAAAGTTTATGACGTTGCTTCAGCCTTGATTTTTGACGTGGTTTGACCATGAGTATAGATATTTTTGACATTTTTTCTCTGCTTGGTTACTGGCCATAACAAAGCGGTGGCCATAAATATCTAAGTTAGTGATTAGTTTCTTCTTCTTTTATTCACCTACGGCAATAAGATGTGTCGATCAAAACCACTAACGCCTACTTCTGTCAATACACCACAGAACATTAATTTCTCAATATCTATCCGACTGCTTTAGTCATTCAAGCGCTGGTTAAGTTTGCTAGCAATTTTGCAGTATATTTGCATCTGAAAGCTTTGCCCACAACACCCACTATCGAGCAACGCGCCAGTTAGCGTGTCACCCACATTCATGCACACAGAAATCTGCTCTAATTTCGCGAATTCTGCCTCTATGCCAAGCCTCATGATAATTTTTAAGTGCAACATTAGCGTCAACTTGTGCGCTTTGTAATGCGACTGTATTTGCATGTGTCATGACATACATATGTACATACCATACAAGAGCTTCGAGTCCTAAATCTTCGACGAGCTTGAGGTTGCAGCCCTCGCTGCATTTATCGCTTCCTTGGCAATTCGATACTGTTGACATTTATTTTCGGCTTGCGTAAATTTGTCTGAAGCGTTCCACTTCACAAAGGTACAAGTACAATCCTTGCTTGCCTGCGAAAATTTGCGAACACTCATTCATGCAACATCTACTCCACACGGATCATACAGTACTCCGAAATCAGTCATTATGAATATAAAGTATGTCGTCTAAATATTATTCTAACGTTTAGATCAGGACTAAATACTGCATGCAGTGCGTGCCTCAAGTGTTTTTCTCTGGAACTTCCGATAGAATAGAATTGACGTTTGTACCGCGCGATTGAGGTCTATTGTGTCCTTAAGGACGCGACACTCTGATGAATTCCACAAACTTGCTGGACTCTTGAGGTGATGTGATCCCCATCCGCATATGTGTACTGAAGGGCCATGTGCCTACAGAACCGACAGTCTGCACAAGATGAACATGTTCGACAATTGCTTCTGCCCAGTATAGAGTATGACTAGTAACGGGATTTGTCTCTGGGTAGGTTAATCATATCTTTAAACTTTGCTCCCATTAGCACCTTTGCATGGTGCATACCTGTCCACCATTCTAGAAGCCGTAGCGAATTTGTCGGCCAGCTCTTTGACGTGTGCGCTCCTCCACTAATAGCGATTTAATCTCATATGCTGAGATAGCTTTTACCGCCGCTTGACTATGTTGTGGATAAGTTTTCATCGATGCCATCCGGTAGACTCAAAAAACGTGCTATTTCGAGGAGTAGGGCGAAAGGGAAAGGTGTGTCATACATACATATATGTAGAGGTAGAGCTGGGCATGCAAAGAGGTGGTGAGAGCCATGCGGGGACTAGTTTGCCTGCTGGACATGTGTTTGGTATGTCGATTCTGAATGAGTTTGAGTTTAAGCTGCTACGGTATCCAGAACGAAGCTACGCAAGGGAGTTTTGAAATGTAAAAATTAAACAGCAACGGTGAGGTGGCGTCCACCCTGCGAAACCACTGTTAAATTCTTTTCAATTTGAAGTTTTTATCTCGAAACTGTACGGATGATTCCCGACCCTAGAGGGAGCGTAGGTTGTTCAATGTCCTCAAGTAGCGTTGTGTGGTTGACTGTGTCAAAGTTTTTGTCAAGTCCAACGCAACGAGGATCGTCCTTTCATAGAGTGGTTTTTGGTTGAGGCCATGAGCTATTTGCTGTGGCAGTTGGTGGAGTTGTGGTGGTGCTGTGAACTTTGCGGAAGCCATGCTGGTGGCTTGCTAGACGCAGGTGGTGAGTGATTGCCGAGTTTGCCAGGTTTCAGTAGTAGGATCACTCTTCCGATTTTACAAAAATTGGGTATTTGAGGGCCTTGGTGAGTTAGCTTACTCCCGTCGCGCCCAGTGGCTTTAGCATCAATATGCTTATTCCATCTGGGCTACTGGATTTCGAGGATTTGTCATCGAACCATCAGCCATTGAATTGTGCTGCACCGCAGTTGTAGGGTAAGTGACGAGTCACTCCAGTCAACAATAATTTTATTTTATAAAATTTTTTTTTAAAGCTCTGCTATAAAATATTGTCTAACACTGTTGTGGTACTTAATTAGTTTATGTAAATTACATTACTTAAACGTATTTCAAAGGTACTGAGAACAATTTACTTTATTCATGGGTGGTAAATTGCTATTCCACGAATTAACCGATTTTTATTTATATATACAACAACAGTTGTATTAAGACATGAACGTATACACATCTACAGGGTGCTCCATCTTTTATATCGGCATTTCAACATTGCTTAATTTCAGAAAAAAGAGAAAAAATCCTTTCGATATCGAAGGATGTTGGCTCGGATCCTCGGACAAGGTGGTGTGTTCAGATTCCTGTGAAGAGAACAAATGAAATCAAATTTCGCATACCGACATAAAAGATGGCACATAACTTGGCAGTCGAGTTTCTCAGCGCTCTAACCCCTTTTTGAAAAAAAAAACAGTCGAGTATACTACGTAACCGGAGCGGATCCGCGTTATTATTTGGGTCTGCACAAACGGCAGCATGCCTCAGAAATATTTGAGTAATACTTGCTGGAACGAGAATTTGGCGCACCCTGTGCATATTTATTGTCAATTCGCTTTCATTTATTCAAGCGTTTTGGTTGTTTGTTTTTCGCAAGCGCTACTCCTTTTTCATGTTTTCCACAACTCTTTGGCTCTCTTAATTGGTCGCATTTCCGCGAGGCACTCTGCACTCTTTACCGTTGCGACTTACCTGCCTTGCACTCTGCGTAGCCAATCGATTGAGAGATCTCACACTGTTTAGGCTTTCCTATCAGTGCAGCTATTTGTTTACTTATGATGGGGTCTTTTAATACAAACATGCACACACACCTATTTTCATGGCTGTTGTTGGTTGTTGATATTGTTGCCTTATTATTCGTGTTATTGCGGTTGTTGTGCTTGTTTGTTTTTCTGTGTGGATGTTTTTTTTTTCGTATTTGTTTTTGTATATTTTATTCTACTGTTACCACCGCTCTTTAGCGCTGGCATTGTTACTTATGGTGTTGCGCTACACTCTTGCTAAGGTTTGTAGTTGCATTTGCTGTAATTGCTGTTCTTTTCTTGGGGCTAATATCTACTCGTGCATGTGTATGTGTTACATTAGTTGTTGTTGGTGCTATTATTTGTTCTGTCGTTTGGTGCATTTGGTGGTGCTCCCGTTTAAAGAACTGAGTAGACGCACGGTAAAATTATCTATTGAAAGAAAGAAAAACGGTGCCATAAAATAGCGAGTATACAGCTGAGCGGTATAATAGCGCCGTGCGAGCAATCAGCGCCGTCGTCAAGTGGAGGCAGTGCGCGCCTAATCGACGCTGTTGCAGCGTATTGTGCAGCATTTGTTGATTTGTAATTCAAGTGACAAGACGTCACTCAGCCTGGCAGCAGGCAGACAAGCTAACAGGAAAGCAAACCAAAAGTCGCTAAGTCAAGTCAATCTGTCAGTCGGCGTTAGTCGAGGAAATAGTGTTGCGTTCGTACGCTGCGTCGCGATCATTCGTCGGAGGAGTCGACTGCATGCAGCTACGTTTAACGACACTATTGTTGACATTTTCTTTACGCTTTCGTTACACAGCTGAATTTATCTGCCTTACAAGCAGCGACGATTTCTTAAAAGTACACCGCGCGTTATTCCTGTGATCGTTCGTGAAGTGCAAAAAAGAAAAAAATATAAATAAATAAAATAAAAGTTTTAAAAGCTAACACGGGGATCCTTCTATAAGCGATAGTCACCGTGTAATTTATACATTTTTTGTATAATTTTAAGCATTTTGACCCGCACATCAACAACTGGTCGAGGCTACAATCATGTGTACGTTATTTACCATATTTATCACGTTTATTGCTAATACCTTTCGATTTTCTTCGGGTTTCCGTTTGCGCGCTCGCACCAGTGTGACTATAATTTACATAAGTTAAAACCTGAGAGGAGTGTCAATAGTAAACCTGTACTTACTTAGTACCGAGTTTGTCTCTATTACTATGGGTCGGCTATAGATTTAGAATTATTAGAGCCCTCAGAAATATAAAATTAATGTATGGTGTTGGATGTAAGCAATGAAACATTTGATTTAGTAGAACACTTTAATAATCGTGAACACGTTTGAAAAGTTCGCAGATCCGCACTAGTTCCATTAGGATGTGTATATACCGTTGACTTGTGACATTTCAAGCTTACTTTTGGGTTTGTCGTATAGGCAATCTATAGTGTAATATTAGTAATGTTTGGAGTCCACGATCTGATCCTCCTCAAGTCATCGGTTGTCTACGTTTTATTCATTTCGTTTGCCAGCGTTATGTTTACTGTCCGCTGAGCGGAAGTACGATAAGTTTTAAACACTTTGATTTATACTTATTGCCGCATTTATGATTGATTAATAATGCGCATGCGTGCGTGAATTATAAATAGCGCACGTGCATTGCTATCCCTGCATCATGTACCCATGTGTGTGTGTATGTTTACATATTTGTGAAAAATCAATACAAGGTGTGTTTGCGTGAGATTGGAAGTACCCGTATATCAGTCGTGATTTACTGATATCTACGAATGCATATGAGAATATTTATTTATATTGGTTTGTGACATTATGACCAGCTTGTGGTTTCCTTGGGCTTCTACGCATATCCATCTGCACTTTACATAGGTTCATAAAGCTGTAGACAAATAACGAGTACAAATTTACGTCAATGATTTGAATTCATTTCAGATTTTATATATTACAATTTCTCCTTAGAGAAAGAAGTATTAAAACGCAGAAAAATAGGGTAGTCGAAAAAGTCTTTTCGTATTTTTAATCAAACTTCAACTTATTTTTTTATATTTATAATGAACAAAATATGTACCATTTTGGTCGAACACTTTTTAGCATTTTTCCGCTAGAGACATTATTCCATCAGTGTAGAATTTCTGGCTTCTCGGTGAAAAACTGCGATAAGTTACTCCATTAAGGGAGTTAAGCATTGACAGAAACAAATGTTAGTCCGATGGTGCAAGGTCTGGGCTCTCCCAATTTTTTCCGAATCATTAAGATGGGTGTGGTCTCATGGAAGACGAATCCCTTTTTGTTGATCAGTTGTTTGCCGTGATTTCGATTAATTGCTTCAATATCTTTACTTGATGACGGTAAAATGTAGAATTAATTGACCAAGCTGGAGCAGCTCATGGTGGATGATTTCTTTCCAATCCCACCAAACACTCAGCATAACCTTTGTAGGCGTCAGTCCTGGCTTTACGACCAATTGTTGAGCTTCACTACGCTTGGAGAATATTGTCGTATTTGATCCACTTTTCGCAACTAATGCATCCATCTTATTTAATATCTAATTCTTGGTCTCCTGTTTGAAGGACGCTGTCCGCCTAAGCTTTCCGATACATTCTGAAGGAACACCAGTTGTTCATATGTATTGTCCACACATGCACCGGATTTTGAGTGTTCCGATTCGTGTTAGTTCGTGGCTGTGTGAAAGCGTATTTGCGTATTCCAGTAGTCGCTGGCAAACGGCAGGCGGCCACCTTGTGTTCCCTGTGGTAATAATTGCATAGCTGTAGTAAATATAAATTATAGCTACTTAGAAGTTTACAATTAATTCGTTGTGAAATGAGTAATTCTAACCAGATTGGAAATTAAAGTCCAGTAGCCGTAGTGCGTTATAATCAAAATTGCGCCTGCTGTGCTTCGACCAGCTACTGTATGAATACTTGCTACTGATCGCACAATGCGCAAGCGTATAAAATGCAAAATGCATTCATCTATTAAGGCGCCAAGTCATGCAAACAAATTAGCATGAATAAACTGCATTTGATACACGTTATCTTGCCACAAGTTAATCCTGCTCCGAATTGCACTTGCCAACAGCGAATTCAATGCCACCCAATTTGCTGGTAAATTTACCAGCCACATCCCACTTTGGCTCAGTGGCGATTAAATTAATTTCTTGATTTATGCTCAGCGCTTAATTGGATTTGAAAATGGATTTCTGCCTTGAGGCAGCAGCGTAAACAAGTGTGGTGACTAAGTTGTAGCACACCAAGTCATTTCAATGAATGTCGCAGATTCTAAACAAATCGGGATAAACTAAAATTTACATTTTAGAATGTACCACCATTGCAGGTCTACCATTTTTCTGCGCTGCGACTTTGCTTACGCTTTGTCAACATTGCAGCACCTTCCTCGTTTGAACAACACTTGCCACGCTTTATGAGTGCCATATTTGGAAATGCAATTTAGTGTACGTAAATGTGGTTATACATTAGTAGGTACTTACATCCGAGCGTGTTAGTGACAAGCTTGACAATTGTCCACAAGTTTCTTGTGTGCTTGTCAATTATTTCAATTAATTCGTTTTGCATATGACACGAAGAAATCCACTCATTTGGCGCACAAGCGAAAAAAAGCAAAACGAATGTTAGTTAAACCACATCCAACCACATATATTTATCCAAATAGACAAAAAATTATGTTTGTTGCTTAAGTATTGTCGTTTTTATGCAGTTACCACAGTCAATTGAATTTTTCATCTGCATCACTGCAGGCGGCAATTTCACCGCAGCAACCAGTTGACATTGAAATGTCATAATTAAAATGAATTGTTACGTTGATAAGTGAGTTGTTGCTATATTTACTGTCATCTATTAACAACAATACAACAAGCCAGATCTGATTTCATTGCACTTAGCATACGGAATTCTAATAAGAAAGTTCATGTGTTGGCGATATTTTATTGGTGCGCGGTCCAAGAAAAATACTGAAAGCTCTCTTATGTGTACGTCCAACATTCGGTATACGTTTCATTGCTTAGAGTTAAACAGGTGTCATAATAATGCACTATACCTCAGGCCGTTCATTTCTTGATGGTGAAACTTAAATTTGAATCCAGACAAGCTGCATTGCCTACAAACCTATTCTTATATATATGTACATATTATATGTTTAAAGCCGCAGAGATTTTTATTTTAATGCATAGTTTCTATGTAGTATCTAGATGTTTATCAAATAAACATCGAAATTTTGAAACAAAATTTCAAAAATTTTCCCTACAATCATATCTACACAATAGCATTAACCAACCACTTACATACATATGTATGCATATTGCTTTATTATAAATATTTGATTAATATTCAAAGGGCCACTATCGCCTTAGGTTAATTGCCGCTAAAGAATTAATAACTAATTTGCCCTAAACAAATAATTTGCTGCATAAATAAACTCTCTAAAATATTCAGGTGCCAAGTAAAGCAAGTTTTATTTAAATCTGTAAGCCTTATAAAGCTTGTATCGCTTCAAACTCCATTTTTAATTTAACTTATTACGCGTTGCCTGCTTTGGAACGCGCGTGCAACGGCATAAAGTTGTGTGCGCTAGAGCCGCCCACCGATCGTATACAACACACAAGCAAATAAAAGAGCGACGGATGTGTGTTCGGCAACCGCACTTGGCCGTACGCCAAGTTAGCCATCGATTATAGCGCTTTAAGTAGCGGGTGTACATACACGTACCAATCAGGGAACCTACTTTTGTTACGGCATTTGTTTAATTGTTCGTTATATGCATTTGGCTATCGGTTACTGTGCTTTTGCGCAGCCGCACATTATTGCTTATATGTTTTTAATTGGCTTAGCCGAACACTCAAAACTGTTAGCTCCACCTACATAATACTCGATACCGCAAATTTTCTCATCCTGTTTCAAGACAACTGATAACTTTACTATACCATTTATTTATATTTTTACAAAATGTATGTTCATTTCTAGATTACCATCCCGTAAACAGTTATCCCGGCTATCCGATGAATCCGACAAACGGCATGGATACAGAAGATGTCGAGTCCACTTCCAGCAGCGCCATGTCCCGACTTGGCACACTCTTCTCATTCACATCGCCGGCAGTGAAGAAACTGTTGGGCTGGAAACAAGGCGACGAAGAAGAGAAATGGGCCGAAAAGGCGGTGGACAGTTTGGTGAAAAAGTTGAAAAAACGCAAGGGTGCTATTGAGGAGCTCGAACGCGCTTTATCCTGCCCTGGCCAGCCTTCGAAATGTGTTACAATCCCACGTTCTTTAGATGGTCGCTTACAGGTAATTTTCAGCTTAAACTCCTTTTTTGTATTACAAATTTACCTCTTTAACCCGAATATATGTATAAAAAATAAATAATAAAAAAATTCTGCTATAGGTCTCTCATCGGAAAGGACTTCCACATGTTATTTATTGTCGCGTTTGGCGATGGCCAGATTTGCAATCACACCACGAACTAAAACCACTTGAGATTTGCCAGTATCCATTCAGCGCCAAGCAAAAGGAAGTTTGCATCAATCCTTATCACTATAAACGAGTTGAAAGTCCTGTACTGCCGCCGGTGTTGGTGCCACGCCATTCAGAGTTTGCGCCCGGTTTCTCAATGCTACATTTAAATCAATCAATGTCTGAACCGCCAATTCCACCCAATATGAATTACTCTAATAATGGCTTCAACAATATGAGCCCTAACAGTCCGCCCTTAACATCAGCCGGTAGCCCTAGTACGGTTAACTCCAATCCTAACTCACCATATGGTAGTTTGGCAGGCACCCCACCGCCGGCATACAGCCCCTCGGAGGACGGCAATTCGAACAATCCTAATGATGGCACACAACTAATCGACACACAGATGGGCGATGTGGCCCAGGTGAGCTACTCAGAGCCAGCATTTTGGGCTTCAATTGCTTATTACGAGCTCAATTGCCGTGTGGGTGAAGTATTCCACTGCAACAATAATTCAGTTATCGTCGACGGTTTCACAAATCCATCGAATAATTCAGACCGCTGCTGTCTAGGACAGTTAAGTAATGTAAATCGTAACAGTACCATAGAAAATACACGCCGTCACATAGGTATGTATCATAAAAAAATGCATAAATTATTTTGACTTATCTCTATCATTGCCTAACAGGAAAAGGCGTTCACCTCTATTACGTTGCTGGAGAAGTATATGCCGAATGTCTATCCGACTCGGCAATATTCGTGCAATCTCGAAACTGCAATTATCACCATGGCTTCCATCCGAGTACCGTGTGCAAGATACCACCTGGCTGTTCATTGAAAATCTTCAACAATCAGGAGTTTGCTCAACTTTTATCGCAATCCGTTAACAATGGGTTTGAAGCAGTTTATGAATTGACAAAGATGTGCACAATCCGAATGAGTTTCGTAAAAGGATGGGGAGCTGAATATCACAGACAGGATGTAACATCCACTCCTTGTTGGATAGAGATACATCTGCATGGACCATTGCAATGGCTTGACAAAGTATTGACACAAATGGGCTCGCCACACAACGCCATCAGTTCCGTATCATAAGAGCAAAATGATATGTTGTCGTTTCTTAGTTTTCTATTATCATTACTTAGTGTTTTTTTTTTTGAAATTGCTTTTGATTGATCTGCGCTGATTTTATCATTTCGTTTCTACTACTTGTTTACACATTTTATTTAAACGGCTTATATTGCCGTTTCACTATTACGGTATAAAGGAGAACTTAAGATAAATATAACGATATAATTGGCATCAACATAGTTTAGATATTAATGTTTTATTACTTTGATTTTTAAGCATCGTATACATATACCCAAAAGTACATTTATACTATTTTTATAATATTACAAGAACAACTAATTTAGACAATTTTCCAAAAATATTTTGTTTGCAAATTGCAACAAGCAGGATATATCATTTTTTGTGTAATAATAAAATTTTATTATTTTAATTTTCATTCGCATTTGTCGTTTTATTTTAAATTTACATTTATGATTTCAGAAGCAATCGATAGTTTTCATGAAATGTAAGTAAATTTATATAAGATGTAATAGTAAATTAATTGTGCAACCAGTAGAAAATATGAGTACATATGTATATGTAGGATTTAATTTAGTAATAGTGAATTAGTTAAACTTCGAATTATCTCAGCGCTTATGTGCATGCATGCTTAAGCGTATATATTCACATGCAACACAACACAACTACAAAATGTGCTACATACATACTTAAGTGCTTTTGAAACATGCCTTATCCAAATGCAAATTATTGAACAGCTTATATAATACATATGTAAATAAGAGATCTTGGCCAATAAATGTAAACAGTTTAAATTGTATTACTATATAGTTTGTAAAATAAGCGCTGAACCGATCAAGTGGCAAAAAGTTGCGAAATGCATTAAAGTTCATTACAATTTGCTACAAAGAAATAAATGCCTTCACATATACAAAATGTATTTACAAAGATATTTTAAATTTGCTATGTATTTTAGGCTATTTGAGCTCACTTGCTTTGCGTTTTGCTACCTATATGTTGTTATATGATAAATAAATATAATGTATTGTAATTTCCATTGTAGTAATCAAATATGTGCAAAATGATTATAATAATATTTCAAATAAAGTTTGGTGAATTTCCTGACTAAAATACATATACCATACATATACAACTTTTCCACAATTTATTTATTTATTTTTTTAATTCCGATTAAAAATAGAAGATTTAATAAAAGAAACTTTGAGTTACATTTTTCTAATATTACTGCACACCCTTTAATTCCTCAATGTGCAACGGAGAATTTTAATTTCATAGTGGCAACGTTTACAGCTGTTTGTCACTTTTTTGACGTTTCTCTGACATCAGCTGCAGCTTGTGTATTTTGCCGTGCTTTGACTGGAGAATTACGCTAATTGCGAACACAAAAAATATGTCGAACGTGATTGATCCTATAAAACTCTTAACGGATAAAGGTGAACGCCAACCAGCGTTCATGAACAGCATCTTCAATCCAGTAGTGTGTTCGGTACTTGGATTTGGTTGTGCAATATTTTTGAACTTCGGTTTGAGAAAACCACCATTCTCGGGTATGTTTTATGTGACGTAACTTTGTGGTACATCAAAAGATTTTTAGGAGATTTGCTAAATGCAGTGTTTACTTTTTAGGAATTCAGAATCATGTAGCCTTCGCGGCTGTAGGTGGCGGTTTGGGTCTATACTTTGACAATAAGAGGAACGAGCATCTTGCCAAACGCGATGCTGTACTGAGACATTACATTGAATTGCACCCAGACGATTTTCCAGTAAAAGGTAATGAAACAGAAGTGAAATTTTAAATAAAAGCTCACGACGTATTTTAACTTTTAGAACGCAAGAAGTACGCTGACGTTTTGGAAGCATGGGTACCTATCAGATAAATATGCCGAATAATGCCGGCGATCCCATTATAGATGAATCAAATTGAAAATGTTTTATTCTGCTTAGAATATAATTGGTAAAAATCACGTTAGTTAATAATTCGACTATAGCAGATGCAATTTGAATAAAAACTGGGTTTAATAGCAATAAACAATTAATATTTATTTTATAGATTGAAAATTATAGAAAAACTTCTTGATTTAAATTTAATTGATAATTTTGCCTTATTAGGTAATGCAAGTAAGTATGATTTCTCAAAGCTTATATATATTTTAATTTTTGATTTTCTGATTAGTTGTATTAAATATACTTTGGATATATAATTACCCGAGCTTTAATCTTAAATAATTAAAGTTTACAAGCAAATAGAGGAAAACGTAAAAACGTTAATCAGATAAGATTGGGAAACACTGGATAACGAAGCATTTTATTAAACATGCTCTATTATGTAGGCCGAATAATTGTCAGTTACTACCTTTTTTCCGGAGTTCCATGCGCATGTCCAGAAATAAACCGTTATAAGAGTTCACCAACTAATGATTTGTTGTTGTGGGGATGTTTTAATGTTCAGACGGCGACCATAAAGCAGACAGAGACAATAGGTGTTACTGTAGAAATTGCGAGTAGTCAGTTGAGTTTTAGATGTTGAACGGTGAAAATCAAAAGAACGGAAATCGCTTCTTAGTTATAAAAAACCAAAAAAAAAAAAACTAAACATCAATAAAATAGAAATAATTACCAACAAAAAATAAGTGGCGAAATAAAAACAAAAAACAAAAATGTGCTTGGAATGCTTCAGGGGGTATAATTTTGTGCTGTAACACTAGATCAAGCAAAGATTCTTGCAAGAACATACTTACAAAAAGTCTTTAATTAATATGCTGCTTTAATGTGAATTTAAACTAAAACCTTTAAAAATAATACAGTTATGAAAAAAATAATGATTCCAAAATAAATGCCATAAGTTAAGAGTTCATAGAACCATAACGAAAAAAGTGATAATTTTTGGTGACTGCATGCCGATTCACTACCCGTTTCTACGTGCTTTTCAGCCTCCACAGATTTTGCCTGCGTGTACCGGATATTCACGCAAAAGCAAGTCGATAAATAAACATATACCCGCAACAGTGATCGAAGGGCTTCTCGAGATTTTACATTGGTTGGTCGGCCATCCTAAAAGCCTTGTGTCCTGTTATTTTGAACGAGTGGTAGCACGGCGCCAATGTAGAGCAAGCGTGTGAAATATTTCGTTAGTGGCGTCTTATTTTGTTTAACTTCGCATCAATGTTCCAGCTACAAAGTTGGGTGCAGTGAGCTGGGAAATCTTTTGACTATTAGCAAAACTCAATTATTCGCTGTTTGCTGTGATTATGGCAAAGGTAGGTTACAAAAATTAGAAAATATTATTAAAGTAGAACATTTATAGAAAATATTTAGATTTAAGATGTAGCTCTAAAAAAAAACGTATGCTTGTGTATACAGATATATGTAACTGTGTATGTGCTTTTCAACAAATTTTATGTCTGTACATATTTACGATTGAGTTGAATATTAGTTATATTTTTACTATGTACATCTAAATACTTTTACTTTGATTTATTGATTGGTGTCTAAGTTTTAATAGAATGAGCATCTACTTTCGCATACTACTTTTAAATTATATATAGATATACTGCCGAGTATTATATGCATATCTGAGTGATTTTTTCCAATTTATCTGACATCATGTACAAGTACACCTATATTTTCTTTTATAATATGAACATAAATATTTGAGCAACCATGCGTTTAGAACTGAATCTGCCAGCAACTCGACAAACAATGTAATGTTGGTCAAAAATACTGATTAAAATGATAATTGGGCTCCTTTCTACAAATCAACAAGTTCTCTTGGGTACAGATTTTCCCACAAAGAAAAAATATTGATATATGTAGATATTTCTCTTATAAAAATCTTAGTCATAAAACACAGTTATTCATTAAAAAAGAATACCGAAATGTTATCAACATAGCTTTTTCGTCGTTCGGCTTGGAGTGTGAAGCGTTCTCTTCCGATATATATATTTTTTTTGGTGTAGTACTACTGTGATCAAATTGAAAGGATAATTTTCTTCAGCTAGGTTAACATTTTCTCATGCGTAGACAATTTTATGTACATACACATACATATATAAAGTGAAAAGAATCCTAAGTCGCAAATATAACCGGCACAGTGTCCTGCACTCTGCTGACTACTTTGGTGACTTTATGTCTGCAATGCACGAATCCAAAGCAGAGTGCAAACAAGAAAACCCTAAAATAAATAAATTGAAATGCAAACACAAACTGCTGAGTGTATATATGTGTATGTAAGCACAAGCAAGACATATTAGAGTGTAGCATGCCGTCTTCAAATGTATACATACATACATATACATTTTAATGTGTTGCTGGAGTTTATTTTATGGTATTTATTAATTTTTCTTCTTCTTACGATAAGAAAATATCCATCAATTACTTATTTTTAATATATTATTTTCAAATTACAACCAAACTGTTTTTTTTTTTTCAATTGACCACATCTTTAAGAGCACATTAAATATGCTATAATCCTGTTTTACATGCGCGTAATTAACTGTTTTGGGTACGACTTAAAGCTTTCATCAAGCCTTTTAGCTTTCAATGCTTTTCATAGGAAAAGTGTGTTGCCTGCGTACTCGCAGTGTATATATGTATGTATGTACACATGTGTGTATGTATAAATGTTGCATGCTAAGTAAGCAAATACTCATACATGGTTGTCCTTCATTGTAGGGGCGGCCTTCCGTTTCCGTTGTCTTTGTCTTTGTGCGGCGAAGAAGCGTAAGCAATTCTCGCGTCAATTCTTTGATGTACTCTTAGTGCGTTGTCCTACATTAAATTTTCTGATGTATTGTTGGCAAATATGCATATGTTTGTTCAATAAACTTGTGCAGACGTGGTGTTGCATTTTTATGCTCATTTTGATCAATACTTACAACTTTACGCGTCGTAAGAACATTTTTTAAGCTACGAAAGTAGTGAAATCATAATTTTAGATATATGCACAATCTTATTTATATATTTCTATTGCAGCTAATCTGTTTTTGTTATTTTAATAATTTATCATTACCACTTATACCTCACTTCATTTCCGTCAAGTAATCATATTAAATGAAGTATATATTGGGTAGTCGATAAAGTCTTTTCGTATTTTGTCAATAGATGCCGTTGCAGTCGTATATCTCCAATGCTACTAATCACATTGTATCATACCACATAGTGTTGAAAAGGTGAGATCTTTAGCTTCATTTAATCGAAAAAAATAAAATTCGATTATTATTTATAAGTATAAATGAAAAAAATAAGATAAAGTTTGATTAGAAATACGAAAAGACTTTTTCGATTACCCAATATTTTCAGTGAGATAGGAGTGAGCACAAATTAGAAAAGTCGTCATAAAATAATTTCATTTTGGCGATGCCTTTCCATGTGAAAACGCCAAATGGAAAATGCAGCAAATTCACAACATTCGTGAGCCATAAAAGTCGATGTCGTAAGGCAACTTAAACGAATTCGAAAAAAATCAAAAACTTTTACTTCTATTATATCTAAGCAAAAATTGAATTCCGTGTGAATATTTTGTCGCTGTGTAGACTCTACTGCCACGAAAAACCGTTTACAGTGGCCTCGGCAGTAAGCGCTGGTGGTGCAGATGGGCGGACCCGACCAGCCAAGAATACTTACATAACAATAGCCGCTGAATGCTTGGTCAAATTGAATTACATTGCTCGGTTAAGAGCTACTAGTACCTACCTACAAGTTGTTAGCATACAAAGTGTACCTATTGTATCCAAAAAAGGTGGAGCGAACGATTTGGCAGCAGGCATAGGCGAAGTGCGCACAAGTGCATAGACAACCTACAGTGGCATTGAGCATCAGGAGACAAGTTAGCGTTACGAGCTTTTTGTTTGAATTTTTATCTGTGGCGATCCGCCGGAAACTGTCTTTGAAGCCATTGTGTTGCCATTGTATGCGAATTTCAGCGGTCAGTACGAGTAGATAAGGACCATAAGGACCATACATAGTACCAAACGCTCTGTTGCTGCTCGGTATATAAGCGAGTATAGAAAATCAATAGCCAGCACTTTCGAAATTCCGTTTACATTTAGCGATATTTCGAGTCATGGTGTAATTAAAAGGAAATTGGAATGTCAGCGACTGCCAGCTTTTTGAGTCAGAGTCGAGAGCATTGCACGCTTCAACAGCTTTTAACACTCACCACTACACACATACAAATGTATGTCGGTTGTGTTGGCTAAAATCAGGAGTCACATTACGGCAGGCGGCGAACTCTGCAATGCAACCCTTAGTAAAGCGAAATGGAAGTGAAATTAACTTGCTGGGAAAAGCAGTCGAATGTACAGCACAGCAAATGTGAGTCTAACAAAAGTACTTACTAACCCAATTTCTGTGTTGCACGCGATTTGAAAGCAAACAATAGTATCGCATACATATACCGTGCGGTTATTATTGTTCAGTTATATGTATGGATGTATTATATGTGTAAGTGCATGTGCTTATAATTTGCCTTTGGTACACTGAAAAAGAAAACAGTATTTCGATGGTTAGAAATATTCTACACTCAGCAGAAAGTGAAGAAAGGAAACTCTAAATTTACAATTTGGTATTTGGACTTCTTAAAGGGAACTTGAATGAAATTGAGTAGATCGAATAGCCCAGAGGAGTGCTATTATCCGACATGAAATTGGTATCTAAACTGGTAGAAGCCCTCTCGGATGTGCTTCTTTATGACGCAAACATCGCTTATACTCAAGTTTACAACAGCTTGCCAATCGTTCTTCCTTCCCGCTTTTTGGCGCCAATTGGAGATTTCTTCGAATACTTTCAGAGCTGCAGCGTTTTCGTCCATACGTGCGACATGACCTGGCCATTGCAACTGCTGTCTCTTGATTCGACTATGTCAATGTCGTCGAATATCACAGCTCATCGTTCCATCCACAAAGGACCATAAATCTTTCGCTGAACCTTTATCTCGAAAACTCGTAACGTCGATCCATCAGATATTATCATCGTCTTTTGTTCGTGGAGAGAGGACTTTAGTTCTCAATTGCCTACTCAGTCCAAAGTAGCACTTGTTGCCAAAGAGTTATTCTTTGTAGGATTTCGGGGCTGACATTGATGTTAATACTGGTTCCAAGATAGAAGAAATTATCTACGACTTCGAAGTTCACTACCAGACGCATTTGCTCCGCTTCCTTTTCCAAGATGGAAGAAGCAGAACTAATGGTGCGTGTGTTGAGGTCAATGATATCAAAGTACGTCAGAAGCTATTAGCTCTTATAGAAGATGGTGTCTGTTCGTTTAAGCTCTGCTGCTCGAATTATTTTCTCCAGCAGTAAATTGAAAAAGTCGAACGATAGGGAGTCGCCTTGTCTGGAACCTCGTTTGGTGTCTGTATTAGTTTTGCGGTGATACCGAATTCAGACATCGCGGCATAAAGACACCTCCTTCTGTTGCTGTCAAAAGCCGCTTTGAACTAGACAAAGAGGTGGTGTGTGTCGATCCCCTTTACACGGGTCTTTTCCAAGATTTGGTGCATGGTGATTATCTGTTGAGTCGTTGATTAGGCCTGGCAAAGCCACACTGATAAGGACCGATCTGTTGTTGACGGTGGGCTCTGTAATGGCACGAAATGATCTTTTTACATATGGCTCAAGCAGCTCACGACTCTCGGCATTAAACCAAGTATTATCTGGGAAGTCCAAAAACCTCCGTTTGAAGGCGAGCTAAAGTGAGAAGACGAACCCGCAACGTGGAAAACCCTACCAATGAAAAGGGGAACCACCATTACTTGTTGTTGTTTTAAAAATGTGAAAGAAATATTATGAATTCTCCAAGTGTAGTCACAAGCACATTTAGTAACAAAAGCTACCTTAACTACCCGTGTGCTGACCATAAAAAAGTGAAACTTTAAGCTACAAAATTTGTACTAAACAAAAACATTCGCTCCAACGGTGGCTCCTCCAACCACGTGCGCTGTCACTGTGGCAAACCAGCGCTGGAAGCGAACGTGAATGGTCTGTAGAAGCCACTCGCTAGATAAGCTGGTCCAAGTATTTAAACTAAAGCAACGGTACAAAGAAAAACTAAAATTAAGCGAAAGGTGTGCGCGGACATGGTATTCGAAGCCAGTTATGACTAACGAACAATTGCTGGTTACATAAAGTCATATGTATGTTGTACATATATATATTTAAGTACAGTTAGGAATAATTTTTCTATGTGCACGTGGTGCAACCCTTGTAATCTGTGTGACTGCCATGTGGTGGCATGACTTGGCAAGAGCCGACTTTTAGTT